TAAGACTTCCAATGATTGAACAGAAACATGCTTATCAAGTATTTTTAAATATAATTAGTTCAACTTCTATATTGAAAGCATTGTTAACTATTAAAATAAATATTTAATACAGGTACAATAGTAATTACAGGAAATATTGAACTGTTGTTTTGTACAAGTTTACCTTGATTAAATTTTCTGAAGTTTCGTGTACATTTCATGAAAAAATGTGTCTGCCGAATTAGTTTGAAACTTAATCTTTTTCTATGTTTCTATGGGCTCATGTTCTTATTAACCGATGGTCAGAGATAAAGTCAATTTATTGCATTTCGGAAGTTGAAACTCTTTGTTGATATTTAACACTGAGGCAAAACTATCACAATGTAACTAGATATGTGATAGTGATACCTATTTTAAGCATTGTTTATCATGAAATATCAACTAGAACATGTATGTGGTCATAAGAATCTGATAATTACTTAAGTATTATTGTGGATATATGTTGTGCGACGTGGAGACGATGAGACTCTGTATAGATACATCTTGAAATATCAAGATCGTCAAGTGGATAGTACTAGAGCAGCATACTCATACGATAATTAACCATTTGGAAATTGGAAAAAATACAGAACTTAGAATGCTGTGCGGCATACTAATCAGCGTGATCTTGGTTGGAAAAGGATTACTATTTAATCAAATTCAGTTACGAATCAAGGAGTGAAGGCAGGTTGGGGCAAGGAGATGAAATGGGAGGACTCGATGATTACATATAGGAGGGGTGGGTGTGGTAGTTGGCAAATTAAAGTGACTTAACTACAAAAATTCCCTGGGTGGGTGAGGAGGTGTGTCTGGGGAGCGGGCTTTTTTTGGAAGGGACTGTGCTCTTGGCCCAGTACTCAAACTTATAGGTATGCCGCTGATCAAATTTTATGTAATTTTAACTTCTACTTGAAATTGCAAATTTTAAGAATACACTTTCGATGACCATATGAACTGATGGATTACAAACTCCTGCAGACCACACCCAGTACTGTTTCGATCTTACTCGAACCGGAAATGTGCTCATGCCCTAATGACTTTAAATGTTTAAAAGGTTATGCTTCATCTAATCTATCTTCTAAATTTTCTTTCAATATTGATATTGATTCCCATTCTAAATGTACACTTAGTCAAACTCATAATAAATTTACTGTACCACAATGGAATAACCGTCAAGACAAGAGAACTTTTTTGTATCGTTACAAAGTTGTGGAATGATCTTCCACATTTACACAATTAAAAAATAATTTCTTGGACATGACTATTTTATCTTTTAAAAACTCTTTTAATTCTCAATTATTTTTATTGTATATTTAGGAATGTTTATGTTAATTGAATTGCTTTTCAACTTTGACAAACAGTACACAAATACGAAAAGTGCATGCAGTATTAAATGAAGAATAAATAAATAAATCAAAACATTTTTTATTTTATTTATTTATTTGTAAACATACCACTTACAGGATTATAAAAAAACATGACATATTACAGACGGGTTATAAAATAGAAAGATAATTATAAATCATTGCACTTTACTTTGCCAGAAGAGAATACAAGCACAGAAAATAATAATTTAGATTATGAGGAGGAGGATGATGATGGTATTGAAAGAGTTCTGGTATAGTTAAATGTAGTATATATAAATAAAACTCTTATTACAAAAACCCAGCAATGGGTGGGGAAGGGGGAATTCTTACCTATCAATCAATTGGGCCATCTCTTACAAATTTGTCATTGGGGCCATTTTAATTTCTGTGAAATGGGACCATTTTGACCTATGTGTCGATAGAACCATTTTTTTACACCAGATGTCATACAAGACATTTTATTCATATTCATTTTTACCTATTGGTCAAATATGTCTTTTTTGTAAACAAAATTCTAAATCTTTACTGCAGTTGGGGCCATTTTTACTTGACTGTTAATCAGGGCCTTTTTTACAGGAGGAATATTTTGGAGCCCTTTTTCCAGGGCATTTTTTTCTGGCTCAATTTTTTCTCCATGTATAAAAAAAAACTACAAATTTTAAGGAAATAAATATAAAACTTGTGCAAGTCGGCATTGTATGTCATTTTTTTACCTACTTTATTAAGAAATAGGAACCAATGCAATCTAAGTGGTATATGTATGTGTGTATGTGCGTGCGGGCAGCTGTATGTTACACTGACGTCTCGTCACAGTTTTATAAACAGGCAAACATGAATTTCCAAATGATTATGTTATGAACTTTGCATACATGTAGCACTTCCTGTAGGCTGTGCCCTTTTGCTTGAAAACAATTTTTGGATAAACATTAAATCAGTATATTGTGACATACTGTACACCCCACCCTTCCACCTAAGTCTCGGAATTCTACTATGGATAAATAGGAAAGCCAGTGCATATGCTTTCCAAAAATATGAAATATGCACTACTTTTGTGGTCCACCAAAGTTTTTCTACAAGTCGGAATGGATCCACCAGAGTGTGTACGATTGTATATTGTTCTTGCGATACACAAGTCGCAATACACAAGTCGCTGCTAGCGAGTTCAAAATTTTGCCAAGTATAACAATGGACAAACTTGCTTATTTCTGAGAACTAAGGGCAAAATGAGTGTGGAAAATTTTCAGTGTGAACTTTTACATCCGTGTAGCATTCTAAAAAATATTAATGACACCGATAGGAACCTTGTTCCCCATCTGTCAGGTTTATTTTTCTTTCTCATTTGATGGCATACACGCTCACTTAATTTCCCCCTCCCCATTTTGGACATCTCTGGATCCGCCCCTGATTTAACACCTAATTATTTTACTTTTATTATTAACAAAATAAAAAATAGAATTCACCAATATATTATCACTTCATAGTTATTTCAATTAAGACTTAATTATTTTACACTATAGTAATTGTTAGATTTAACAAACCTCTATTCTCGGCAGTGAACACTGCACTGATAAAAAATTTGGTCAGAAACAAAGACAATATTCTTTAGAGAAAAATATATTAATGAAGTAAAAAATGTTGGCAGATTTCCAGTTGAGGAATCACATGTTGTTTACTTGGGTTTAGGGTTTCTGAACGTATAGGTAATTGTAAATTACCCCCTAAGCCATATCGGTACTTAACAGTGCGGCGAATGAAAAAACCGAGTCAGCTTCATGCAAAAAAAGCGTATGACTCTAGGGAAATGTCACAAACAATACAGTTGAAAAATTCATCAAAGTCATTAGCAATCCCTTTTTTCTTTATTAACAAAGAAGAATGAATTTTAGAATATGCAAGTTCTTGTACTGATAGTTCATTAGCAAAGGAGAATAGGACTGTGAGAAATCCAGATTCTTAGTTATTATTATAATTAAGAGGTATATTTAATAGCAGATTATTTATTAATGAAATTCAGAATACCAATTATGGTAATATTTTGCTATGAACCCTAGGGATATAAATGTTAAATTTATATAGTCAAAAGTTACATCGCAGACCTAAAGTCTAAAGTGATCTATCAAGTTACTATATCTGGTTATATAAATCCCTAGGAATTAATTGAGTAAGTGTAAAATATATCGCTTCGAACGTCTTTCTTATTTGAAAAATATATCGTCAATCCACTGTAGGGCAACTGATGTTGATTTCAAATAATAACGATAACAGAATTTTTTTTTTGTAAGAAGAAAGGCTTTTGATGTTTGCAATTTAAATTTATCAGATTGAAAATTAAAACTTCAAAGGTTAATGACGGTGTGATGGTACTTATATGGACATGATGATCTCCGGAAGACGTCTCTGCAGTACTCCAACTTCCTTGATAATTTGCGTAAATGCCATGGGGGATGTATATAGACTTATTATGCCTACTTAACAGAGGCCAAGTACTAATGGAGTATAGTCATAAACCCTTTATATAAATCTTGTTACTAAATGAAAATTATTGTTATTAATATTAATATTATTTGTTGTTTTTTTGTTTGTTATTATTTATATTTATTATTATTTAATTTTGTGTTATTAGTTTTTATTATTAATAATATTTTATTTTTTTTGATTATTATTTTAATTGTTATTTTTTTGAATTATTAAAGTTTTATAAGTACATAAAGCAAAATGGTAGACACCATTTTGTTGGATTAAAAGCCTGTATATCAAAGATGTGTATTTAGTGAAAAGTAACATAATTAAACTTTACATATTTTTAATACTAATGAATGGTTACTTAAACCAATGTAATTTACATTTTCTTTTAGGTGCAATGCAAATTTGAGGAGTAGGAGTATTTTTGGTGGGAATCGCACACCAGTGGGGTCCTTGTGGTGGTGAATTGGACAGTACACCGGGAGACAATTCCCATCTCTTCCGAATAGTGTACTGTGTTTTCTTTAACATGCATATGGGCCATATTACACACAGGACCAATGGCTTAAACATCTCATTCGAAAGATGATGCACTATCGTAACTTGTAACTTGCATTTTCTTTAGGTGATCAAGTTAGGTGCCGATGCAAATTTAAGGTGAAATGTATAAACACTACATACTCAACTTTGGTCACTTCATGGTGATACAACAAACATAACTAGATCTCCCAGGCTTTTTGTTTTTTATATCATAGTAGAGATCTTCCATTCTACCCTCAGCATTACCAATTGCAGTTCAAGTTTGAGTCTTAGTAATATCAATGTTTTTTCATGCATTTTTTTTTTACTTCATAACTTAATCTTCATAATATCAATCATTTCCCATCATATCAATAAGTAAAAAGTTCTGACATATAATATACAGATCTCGCCCAATTAAAAACCACTTTTGGGTCCGGGGTTCCATAGTTTTTAGCAGCTTTGGTCTCTATAATAATAAAAAGACATTTGTTGTCTGTAGTTAAAGATGGTCTTCAATTGGAGGGGTTTTTAGTTGGAGGGACACCTGTATATCATATTTCTTTTATTTAAAATTTTGGCATTGATGTAATGCTTATAAATAAAATTTTGCCATGTTTTTTTTTTTTTCAGTCAGCAAAGGTTCCTGATAAACGTTCATTGCGTATTTCACGGTTCGATTTTGACGATTTTTCTCTGAAATCTGATGAAATGACAAAAGCCTCGCTCAGAATCTTTTTGGATATGGGTCTGATACAGAGGTTTAAGATGGACTATGAGGTAAGTACTGATCTACTGTATCTACTCAACATAGATACACTATAGAGTTCAAGGTACTGTCTGTCTGGAAATCCTTAAAAAATTCAGTTAAAACATTTAATAATAGTATGAATATGAATATAAGTAATGAGATGGCGTGTTTTACTACAGGCATTCTCAATTCTCATGCAAACTAAAAAAAAAATAATAAAAAAAATTGAAGAAGTCCCTTACAATGCTTGGGAAAATCCCTCTTTTAAACACAGAGACACTCAAATCACCCGAGTGTTTTTACATAATCGGAAGAAAAATTATTTAAAACAAAATGAATTAAAGAAAACAACAAAACATATTTATATTACCAGTGATACTAGCCCCCGCCAGACACCAACCCGGTATTTCTAAGTTTCAGGGATGACAATGAATTAAAACAGAAATTAAGAAGACTATGCTTGCAAATTTGTAGATTGGAAGAACAAGTTCATCTGATAGGTCATTCCATAGCTTAGCACCATGTGAGATGCTATTTTTCTTACACTCGGTGTTCATTTTAGGAATATTAAAAATTGATACCATTGGCAAGTGTGGTGTTGTAACTATTTTCTCTTATGCGAAAGTGGTCAGAAAGATATGATGGAACATTGCTATTGAAGATTTTGATACATAGTTATTGCTTCAGTATTGTGCATTCTTTGTTTAAGATTAAGTAGGTAAGGTCTTGCAAGGCTTGAGTGCTGGAGTCACATCGTGAAGATCTTGTAATAATCTTTGCTGTCATACACAATGTCATATTTTTCTATACAATACTAAGCCACATACTGAGTCACATCGTGAAGATCTTGTAATAATCTTTGCTGCACGGTTTTGCAGGATTTGGAGTTTATTAAAATATTTTCTATGAATTACTCCAAACGACACTGCAGTAGTCGAAGTGTGGAGCTATGATAGTTTTGTATATTACTTTGAATTTTTTGAGAGGCTAATGCATTTGACTTTCTTAGATAGTACCAAGCCCTGCAAAACCTTATCATTTACATTATCAGCATGGTTTTCCCATTAATTTTTTTCATCTATACATATACTCCAAGGTGCTTAACAACTTTTTACCCTCAGACTTTGCTCATCAATTTGAATATAAGTATAAATGTTTGAAATCTTCGAAAGCTTCTGATATGTCCCTATGATCGTATATTCTGTTTTATTAATATATAAGCTGAGTTTGTTAATTTTAAGCCACTTTTGAACATTGTTCAGCTCCTCTCATAACAAACAACTCATACAATATCAAAAGTACTCTATTATTCATTCTTCTACATAACTTACCATAGTATTCAGCTTTATACATGAGTTGCATTAGTATTTGGCTATTTGACATATGTTATTGGTTTTTTTTTTATGTTCAGGTGGATGAACTAGTATAGGTGTATTTTCATCTGATTTCCTCCCCTTTGTTGGTCCTAGAATAAAATCAAAATAGTAAAACATTAAAAGATTGCAAGGCAGATTTTTTTCTTGTTTTGCAAACCCGCTGCCTGCCAATAATGATGATTTTAAATAAAAAATTGATTTTATTTTTGAACAGTTACTGTACTCGCTGCTACAAGAAATGGAAGTATCAGAAAAAAATTTGTATTTATTTTTATTACCCCGTCTGCTTCCTTGATATCACCTAAAATAACATATCAGTGTTCTTCCTTAATTATAACTTTATCAATTCTATACTACACTGTTTATATTCATCAATAAACTTTATTTTTGATTTTCTCTGCCTGATGCAAAGAGTATAGAATTACAAGAGATACGAATGTCCTGATTATGCATGTTCGAAACTTAAACATGTGTACTATGGCAAGCCGAAATGTTATTTAATTGCAATTAGGGGTTTCTTAATTTTTAGTAGAGGTATCTTACATTCAAGTACAGTAAAGACATCTTTTTTTAACTATATCTCTATTTAATAGAGATATCTCTATTTAAAACTAAAGTATTTCAGTTTGTAATTAATTGACAATTTTGCTCTCCATAACAGATGCAAATACGCGTTCGATATGAATGTCCCTTACATTCTTTTGAAGGAGGCCCTGTAGTTTGTGGGACAGTCATACTTTTGAGATCCTTTCAAAAATACCTTGATCGAGAGTCAGACCTTTTTCAATTCTATACTCTTTGCTAGATACTTTTGGTAAAAACCATTTTGCTAAATAAGAAAATTTATAGAGCAATTTCGCCCTGCTCTGACGATCTTTAAAAAACAAGTTGACTAAAAGGTATAAAATGTCTTGCCTTAATGGGCTTAATAATGAGTACGGTACCTAAAACTAGACCAACATCAATAAGTAAGAATCCTTATGACTGTAAAAGCATTTCATCTAATTTCCTAAAACACATAAAATTCCAGAGGTAAATAAAAGTGAGAATCACTGTTTCTAAATCATTCTGTGACATAAAAAGGATTTTTATTTTTGCAGAAAAAAACTCCATAGATTTATTTAGCCATAAATCACATTTCACAGCCCTTGGTTTTACAATAATATTATACTATTTTGAGACAAAATCTTTCACTCCATATTTGGTAATTATGAAAAAGATGATGAATTTGAATTCTCAGACAGGTTGTGATTTAAGTCAAGCCTTTTGGCTTGAATGTGTTTTTTTAGGATTATTTTGAATGATTATACTTTTGCTTTGAAAATGTCATATTTAATGAAGATGATCGATCAAGTGAAAGGGATTTAAACACTTGATAGTCTATAAATGTCTTTATGAGGCTTGGTGAGTGGAGAGATTATCATATGGGATCATCGATGGTCTGTGAGTGGGGAGATGATCATTTGGGACACAATATCATATTTTTCTATACAATACTAAGCCATTGTTTTAACTGTACAAAGCTGTAAAAAGAGCTGATCTTGTATGTTTAACTTGCTTGGAGAAAGAGAGCTGGTGATATGAGGATGCTTGTGACCTTATGGTGGCATAGTTACCAACCTGAGAGATTTGAAATGCGTGACTACACCAGTTGGAAGGGGGTGGGGGCCGCCAGGGCCCTGGTATCAGAACCCCGGTGGGGATCCGGATTTCAGTCACAAAATCAATGGTTGGTTGTCACAATGAACACGCAAGAGTGCGCGAGACTACTAGATTCTACTAAGTGCGTGTTGGCTAGGTTGTTTTGGTCAGGAAAAAGAAATTTTCTCTGTGAATTGATTCTCAAACAAGAGAAGCTCTCTATGACTCAAGCTACTGCATGACCATTTTTATATTTTTACTTAAACCAATTTCTTCTGATTTTAAATAAATTTTCCCCTGAATTTATGTGATAATTTGTTATCATGCATACTTGTGCTAAATGCGTGACAAATTTATGATCACGCCTGTGTTTTTGCAAAATGCGTGTTTCATCCAAAATCACTTTGAAATGCGGGACCGTCCTGCATGATTCAAGACGATTGGTATGATAGCCTAATGTTGAGTATACAAGGATGGTGATGATCCTGGAGTGTTGATGGTAGTGATCATGTGGTGGTAATGGTCGAGGAGGTGAAAATAATGGTGTGATCTTTGTAGTGGTGATGGAATTATGATATACTATGAAGATGATAATAATGCTGCTATGGATTTTAATAAGTTATTATGACCATCATTTATTTTAATCTATCTTTTTTCTTACTGAAGGTTTTATGTCGATGGCTGTTAACGGTCAGAAAGAACTATCGACCTGTTGCTTATCATAATTACAGACATGCTTTTAACGTTATGCAAGTCATGTACACAGTACTACAGGTAGGTTAATTAAACCTGGAGGGTGTTTTGTCAATCAACTGCTAGTGTTAATAATTATTTTATAGCCAGGCTCCTGTGAAATTTTTTTTTAAAAATATATTTATGATGTTTTTTGAAGACTCTGAAGGGATATTTGATGGAAAATTTGGGAATGGTTAATAAGATACCATTTTAAAAAAATATTTTAAAAACTAATTGAAAGATTGTGGTTATGACTTATTTTCCCACATATACGAATGTTTAAATTTTTAAAAATCAAATTAAATTTTGATTACATAATTTTGATTACTAAAATTCTCTTATTAAGTACTAGCCAAATGCGAAGATCTCTGCAAAGAACTAACAAACAGTATATTTATGCATTTTTCTTGATTAAAAGCGAGATAAATATTTTTTGTTCTAATTTTCTATTGAAAGCTGACTTAACTAAATCTACACATTGTAACCAGTTATGCTTTGGAGATTGGTGTATATAGGGTTTGCCAGGGTCCACATCCCCCCAAAAAGCTTGTATCCCGAGTCATTCCCCCCTCCCACTTGAAATGTTCTAAGCATAAAAATTGTGTGCAAGTAGTTAAAACTGAAATCAATCATATCACACCCGGAAATGTATATTGGAAATTAGTCTAAGACACAGAAAAACCCTACAAAGGAAAGCAAATTGCAAAATCATTTTATATACTACACAATCAAGAAGTCAGATAAAAGAAACATAAAATGCACATTGACCTATTTTTGTGAATTAAAATGTTGTTTTAAGATTTTCAAACAATTATAGTTATTACAAAATTAATAAGATATCAACATTGAATAAACCCTATTTTTTGCAAGACAGATTGAAAATTATATTGAAGGACAAAAGCATTTTTTGGTGGAAGCGGTTTGGCACAGCGGAAACGGTTTGGTTTCCCAACCTCAAAGTCGGGGTTTCAATCGCTTGCTGTGCATTTCGCGTGTGTCCTTGAGCAAGGCACTTTATATACGTTGCCTCTCTCCACCCAAGAGTATAAATGGGTACCTGGTGGGGTTGCTCCTGCGCCAAGATGGCAGCTAAACTCAAGCATGTGGACCCGATGATCAGGGAAATACTTACAGCGCTTCATATCTGTAAGAAAGGTGCTATATAATTGACCAAATTAGATTAGATTAAATCTAGTGGTTTGGGAATACACAGTATGAAGATGACGCACAGATGGATGTACATATATTCTGCCCAAGTGGGTGATTGTTTTGTGACAGAATAGGTTAAAAGCTGACGCAGCTGATACATTATATTTTAGTTTTAAATTATCGACAAGATTCTATTGGCTTCTATTTAACAAATTTTAAATAGGTCACTTTTTCATTGGCTAATTCACCTCATAATTAACCTTATTTTGTGAGCCCCCTCCCTTAATTATCGACCCCCACTTCTCTTTTGCGTCCCATCAGCTCTCTCCCCCCTCCCATTTCAAGACTACTAGATATGCCACTGCTTATTAGCTCAACTCTATTTTTCTGTTTCTTCATGAATTGCTGGAATAATATATGCAGAGTGAAAATGAACTTCTGTTTTTAGAAAATCATAATTTTTATGTGTTCGAAAATGAATAAGCTTACATCGTTTGAAAAGTGATATGGATGTTCATAACTTGTCATTTATCCAATTCTCAAATGCGTAGCCGTCTTCAGTAATATGACAGGTATTCGATAATCCTGCAGTCGTCTGTGTACGCTCAAATGTCATCTGATGCGTAATGTTACAATGTATGATTTTCTTTGGAACATCACTTGCCACTTAGTGAAATGTCTTACATTAGATTAATTCATAGTGTATGGAAGAAGTTTGATGACTGTTGCAGAGTTGTCACGGTCATATGTCGGCCTGTATAAATCTTATTCACACGATTATTTGTATTGCATTTTTTTTTATTTTTTTGAGAAAGTGAGTGATTTTTTTTTATGGGGGTTAGTGTAAAGCTCAGTCCCGATTATCAAGCTTTTCGTAGACAAATAACTGTTGTATGCCCATATTTAGTTATAATGTGCCTATATATGGTCATGATGTGATGTCATCATATTCACATGTCACATGTGTGCGTCAAATAAAATTTGATAGTCTGGACAGGGCTTAAAGATATGATTTTTTTTTATAGCAATCTTTAGTGTTCAATCTTTTATTATTATTCTTGTTGTTGTTGTTGTTGTTGTTGTTGTTGTTGTTGTTGTTGTTGTTGTTGTTGTTGTTGTTGTTTTATTTTGACAAAGCACGCTGATACCTGATGCTACCATAATTAATGTTAAGATACGGCCACAATATTTATTTTATTTATATTATATGCCATGAAATACACCTATGGTTGAAACATAGCTGAAACCACTTTGCAACCATCAATCACTTCACAGCTCGTCAAGAGTGCAAGCTGGGGTATCTATGGCCAGCCGAGAAAGATGATTTGTTTTGTTTGTATTTGAATAAATTGTTAATCATTCTTATTATGTGTATATCATCATTATTTTGTTTCACAGACGGCAAACTTAGTGTTAACAGACTTGGAGAAATTGTCCTTACTGGTGGCGTGCTTGTGTCATGATTTGGACCACAGAGGAACAAATAACGCATTTCAAGAAAAGTAACTAAAATATACCTAATTTAATTATCCACAGTACTTTTGTAAACAATATACAATTAAATAGAGATACATGTAATTGTGAAAAGTGCAATGTAATAGAAATTTATTTTTCGAAGGAAAGGATTTCATAGTATTGTACATTGGTACAGTATGTCAAGCATGTAGAGACCTAGACAATTATGCATTATGTGATTGAGACTTGCATCATTATTGTGGATTTAAATTGTAATATGATACTTAAGTAGCCCTGTTCATTTTCGGAATGTAATACATAAATGCGTGTGGTGTCTGTTAGTCACCATCATCATAATTGATGAGGCTGAAAACTCGGATAGGTATATAATCCTAAATTTAAGTTCAACTACTTTTATTTCAAGGAGACAAGAGCAGTTATTGCTGTCCGATTGATAGCCATGTGTAGACAATGGCCAATAAAATGCCTATGATGTAACCAGCTTCCTCAATTCTTATTGGCCACAACCTTAAAAGATTGATTTTAATTCGTTCAATAGATTTATTCTGTAATGGCGCATGTTTGTTTCAAAGAATACATTATTGTTGTTGTTTTGAAGTGTTTTAGTTTAAAATTAAACTAAACTCAATATTATTGAATTTATTTATTTAAAATGAAATGATTAGGTATTATTGCATTTCATTATTTTAATGATGTTGCTATTGTTAAATCTATCTAGATTAAAACAAATTAAAATTAAATAGAACCGGGAGAATTTCAGAATCATAGCCAGCATTTGATTATATATTCATAAGTCTACAAGGATTATTTTTCTACCCCTCCAGCCCTCTCTGAAAGTGAAACAAAAACAATGTCCTTTTTTTAAAACAAAGTACTGCAATTTAAGTCAACATTTTCTTGTATTTGTAAAGTTGGGCAATTGCTGTGTCGTGCAATGGCTGTACGATCGTCAGCCGACGAATCCAATTCCGCTCCCTGTAGGCGTTGACGACGCAACACCATCTACTGATTGTGGGTGGCAGTCTGAAAGTACCGTAATTAAATATGGTGTTTCAAATGCGATCCTTAGCCTACTGTTTTTGCACTTGTTAAAATGTTGATAATTGTGAACGACCTGTCAAATAACAAAAGTTCATAAATCAACCCTTTAATAAAGGCCACAAGATAAAATAACAAATTGCAAATTCATTTTAATTATGCTGTTTGTGAATATATATGTTATGTTGAAAACATTATTCTTTTCCTTATTAGGAGTCAGTCACCCTTGGCAAAATTATACGGGTCAAAGGCCACAATGGAATACCATCATTTTAACCATGCTGTTGTAATATTGAGTAGTCAGGTATGTTATATTATATTATACAGTATATATTATAAACATATCAAGGATATACCGCTTCAACAGAAAATTCCTTTTTCAGTTATAGTATACGAAAAAAAGTTTCTCTGGTATGATTCAAACCGGCAACCTCTTGCCATCAAGGCGAGCGTCTTAACACGAGACTACAGAGACCTATTTAAGATATAGATGTACATAAATTTCCCAGATACGGTGTTTTTACTCACACAGAGTGGAGCTACTATGGTTAACTTCAGCAAGGTACTGTACTGTATATACACAGTAAAACGTCTTTTTTGTACAAACATCAATTTTCGAGTGAGCAGGGTCCCCAAAATATAGCCGGTGTCTAGTATGTTCTTATAGTCATTTTTCATTTCATGAAATACGTCTTACACTCTCAGACATCAATTGGAATATAAATTTCTTTTTTTATCCATTTTTTTTTGTATAATTTTGAAAAAATTCAGATGGGGCCCAGGCTGGCTACACCCCCCCCCCCTCCAAATCCACGACAGCTATTACCATCATATCGTACATATATTTTAGGCATCGTCATATGTTAAGAAAATGCTCTCTACATCAATTTATTGTGTTAAGTTTAGCAATAGGTTTGTTTATACATTGAAATGCCAAAGGGCTTTGATATTCCCAATGCTCTCAGAATAATTATTATGACTGATTATAAACTTATCCTCAATTTTTAGAGCTGTGCTCATCAAAACTCCATTGTCTACTACTATCATGCCTCATTTTTATTTTATATTGATTATAAAATCTTAAGTGTATTTTTTTTAGTTATAACGTTACTGAAATTTCTCAAAGAAAAAAGATATAGATATTTTAAATAAAAGACAAATCCATTAAAAACAGAAAAGCCGGGCTTTTAGGTAACATTCAAGAGAGACATGACAAAATAGAACAGTCACTGGAGAACAGAATGACAAAAATGGACGTACAAATATACTATAATGGTGTAAAACATACTCGCATATATAACATAGTTTTCAAGATTGATTATTCAATTTTCTTTCGAAAAATGGTATAAAAAATATAAATTCATAGAGATTATAAAAATGAATAAAAGTAAATATAAATAAGAGGTATGATGATTGATTTGCAAGTTATTTTGGGTGGTATTTGGTAAATAGAAGGTTAAGAAGCCATTATTTACTTTATAAAAATGCCCTCTGGTCATTTGTGCCGTCAAGCATTTTTTTTTATTCAGGCCTGGAATTAGCCACTTTTTTCTTCTGTTTTTCAACAGTGCCCTCAAAACTGTAAAATTGTTGCTTCTTATATAATTTCACCAATTCTACATAACATCACTATAAAACATAATAAATATATGTTTAATTGATTTTGTTTTTAGTTTACAAATATATTTGATATTTTCAAACTAAAAAAAATTATTGTTATTATAAAAAAAATCAAACAAAAGCACTATGATAGAAAAATATACTACATTTACAGTATTTGATTTTAGTCTTCACATTGATTATAGATATTAAGTTATTTAATTGTCTTCATATTGTGTCTAGATTTGTAATAATTAAATTTATGTCTTTACTAGTATAGATCTTGAATAATTCAATTTACTTTTCAGATTGAGTGTAGATCAGAAATAATTTAATTTAGTATTTAATTCCATTTTATATAGCAGAAATAATTTCATTCGAAATTACAATGGTTGTGTAAGTCCAAGTAAAAAAAAAAGTAGTTTCTTGTCCTAATATTTAAAAAAAAGGAGAATGAGGGGACATTTTTTTCTACTCTAATACCCGATTCACACATGAAGTTAAATTTAACAAAAAAGTAACAAATTGTAACCGAGCGATCTCCCGAGTTATTCCTACCGAGATAAAAAGCATTCACACGCGTCTGTAAGGTAATGCCAAGGTTGTGTAAAATTGATTCAGTGTTTATTCAATGAACCATTTTTCCCCTACTGCGATATAGTTCTAGCCTAGGCCTAGTTGAGAACCCCTGTCACAGATGGACTGTTGAACTCACCATCACAGTAAACATTCGAAGCAATCAATACCCTTATCAACTGCTGTACTACTACTACTAAACTAGGCATAGCTTCCAACGTTTCTGTCGACTCTTGTAATACTAGTAATAGTACTAACACCATCTCGACGTTCATTTTATGTATATCTTCTTCTTCTACCGTTACTAAACATAAATAACAAGGGTAATTCATTCATCATTGAGAAAAACTAGGCCTATCTATTTCTAATGGATCAGAATCGTATGCAGAAGGAAGAAAATTTAAAGAACCCCGTGAAACAATAGATTGTTGTTGTGTTGAAATCCCTGCGCATGCGCAGATCCATCCATGTTACATTTTGGAAGCTTTACCAGCTTCAGCGAGGCTGGTAAAGATTACCGAGACGTCCCGAGATTTTACAAGGATATTACACGGAGGTACTTTCACACGTGCCGTAAAATGTTACTTTTGGTTACATTTTGTTATATTTGGTAAGATTTTTGTACGTGTGAATCGGGTATAAGATGACAAATCCAAATAGAAAAAGCACTAGACATGATTTATACTATATGTATCCCAACCATGTATGAGCGAGAGAGGATTTATAAAGTTATGAATTTAATATCAATTGGAGTGATATGATATATAAAATAC